TGTGTTTGTGTATATTAAGATTGGACTTTTTTTTTTTATATAAAATTAGATGCAGCTGGTAGTCTACCATACGAGTACAGTCTAAAGCAGTGCCTGAAAGGATCTGATCTACTTTCACCAACTTATGTGGAACATTTAACATCACTTGGAAAACTTCAGCAAACACCAATTCCCACCACGGTATCCAGTTAACTCATACGAAAACAGGAAGATTGCGAATTCATTAGCGAAGTGAACTGACATATGCTGGCAACTTACTTGAGTGTTGAATTTGAAATATTTTTTGCATTGAATGAATGGATTTTGCTTTGGTGTGGATGTGGTTGTGGTTGGATTACCTTTGTGGCAGCAAAGTAGGTCATATTAATGGGATTATGTTATTGTCAGGAAAGTGGAATTACTTTGTTGGCAGCGAGGGTGTAACAATTGGAGAACCATATTGGGGGAATTGATGCTGATATATAGAGTATTGATCGTGTTTTGCCAAATCTTCGCCCACCACATGTGATTTAAGGATCTTAAAGTCCACACTGCTTATAATTTATGTCAGGCTGCTTTCTGTAAGTTTAAGTTGCAAGAGGCTGTCTGAACTTTTATCGACTGATAATATTGTATATATATATTAGTATTGCTCTATTGCATAACACCTATTCATTTGAAGAAAATACAGCAATATTTTGGTGAAATTTCAGTATTGCTCAACTATTTCCGTATTTTTTTTGAATGAAGGCAGTGAAAAATTTTATCCATAACAGGTTTGGCTTGAAAGGTGTTCAAAGTGATATATAAAATATCCGTCCATTTTTTATGAAGAAATGTGCAACAAATTGTAAATATTTGTATAGAAATTGATGTGTAATTTTGCTACCGTCCTTCATAAATTACTCTATTTTAATTTTTGTTTTGTATAAATGAACTTGTCTCAAAATGTCATGAGCATGTGTACCAGATATGCTAATGTTCTTATATCAGATTAGCCAATCACAGTTGAGCTTACATATAACTGTAGTCTCTTCAAAACCATTAATAAAGATAACGATACTTTCTATGACATGACAAATAAATCAGAATTCACAATGACTCAGTTATTAATATTTTATTAAAGTGTTACAAGTGTTGAAAAGCATAGGAGCCAGTGTGCATCCCTATCTAACTCCTGCCTCGATAGGAAAATAGACAGACAGTCCATAGGGCCTCGCAGAAATCAATATAGGCTACTAAGAACCCTCTATTGAATTTCTGATCCGCTCAGACAGCACACGTAGCGGTCATCGGTGGGCCGCTTGGGAATAAAGCCGGGATGCTGATGGAGAAGCAGCTGTTGGCAGACACGGTTCAGAAGAATCCACACAAAGATCTTGCTGGGGGTACCAACAGGAGCGTCACCCCTCTAACTGCTAACAGTCCTGGTCATCACCATTTCCCTTCCAGATAGGGATAATTAGTCCCTTTCTCCAGTCAGTTGGGATGACGCCAGTGCTCCACACTGAGCACATCAGTCTGTGCAACCACATCAGGATAACCTCATCTCCAGCCCGGATTCAACACATAATTAATATGCACAGATTTGCCAAGTTTCATTGAAATATGATGATTAGTACTTGAGATATCAGTGGAAATAATAAAAAATAACTAATTATGCCACAAAGATAATAAATATGAACAACTATTTACACAAAACTAATCAGGCTTCTGCATAGACAGAGAGCATCTATTTACAAAGTTTCATGGAAATTGATTAATTATGCAATTAATATGCACAGATATTAATCTAAAAAATATAGCTGCATAGCAGCAATGACGGGTTTCGAGCCTGCATGGCTCATGGCAAATTGCACTTGCTTGATGTGATTATTTGACGAACGTTTCATGTCTAAAATGCAATGTTCCTAACAAGCCCTCTGGTATTTTGCTATTATGAACCACACTGGAATCAACAGACATAACCATTTATAGTCATCTGTCTAATGTCTGGCAAATTGTTCATGAGTTATAGCGTAATTTCACTTTTTACTAAATCCAAGATGGCTGCCAAAAGAAGCCATTTTTCAAAAATCTGCTTCAGTAACTTTGTAGAGCTATCAACAGAGATACTATATGCTAAATTGCTTTTCAAACAAGCAAGCAGTTTTTAACAAGATAATTTTTTTAGGTTTTTTGCATTTTTGTGATCAATTCAACATGGCCGCCAAAACCACTTGAATCATGGGAAATATTTTCATGAACACATAATCATCTTATTGAGCGGATGTTGTATGCCAAGTTTTGTTTAAATCTGGCAAATTGTTCATAAGTTATAGCGTAATTTCACTTTTTACTAAATCCAAGATG